CATTCTGAGTATTCTTGCCATCAAATTAATTCACAAAAACATCCCAATTGTGTCTATATGGACCTATGAATACAAATTTTACATAACTATTTCTTGTGAGCTTTGAGTTGTTAATTTCAGCTTCCAGTTGTTTTTAGGTGCATCCATGCTCAAAAAAACAAAACTTTCATGTGATGTGTGTGTGTTTGTCGGAACAATCAAAGTTTGATAATTGGCACGAGCTTTTACACAAAAGGGGCGGGATTACATTTTTGTGCCAGAAGTTCCTGGTATTAGCGTGGATGGATCTAAAAACAACTTCAGGTCTGTTTTTTTTTATGAGGAACAAAGTCATAGCCCAAAATGTCGGTTTTGAATTACTTCACATTCCAGGAGATGAAATGGCAGTATGTAAAGCCCACTTACTCCAGCAGATGGCAGTGCTGACATCAAACAAACATATTATTATTCATAGCATATATATTCTGTTCACACATTATTTTTAGTTCTCAAACCTGGAATGCCAAAGTAAGTGTACTCATGATCATGTTTACAGTCTAAAATTAACACAACAAATATTACTATTTGCACAATATTTGTCCTTTCCTATTTCTCCTCTTCGGAGGCGTATCCTGTTGTCATGGTATGGATTTTTCAGTTTTTGTGTGAATATGTTTAGATTTAATTGTCTGCTCCTTCTTAATGTGTTTCATGTTTGTCTCCAAGTAAAATTTCTTTCCCTCTTGTAGTCAGTCATTGGGTTTATTCCCCAGTTCTTGTCATTTGTATTCTGGACTTAGTATTTGTCTTCTTGTATACTCACTTGTATTATATTTGCACTATTGTATTTTATATTCAATGTCTTTATCCCTGATCAGTCTCAAGAGTTGTAAAAACACATGTTTCAAGTCATTACACTATTCCAACAATTGAACACTGAGTGCATTTACAAAGCATAAGAATACAGAGTACGTTCAAAAAACCGCACTCAATTCAGTGACTAGTTTGGTCCGGTCCCAGTGCGCCTTGCAGTTCAAGCCTCAAGACCTGAGGACACTTTCAAAGGCATCTTGTAACTTTACCTCAAACTTTGTAGTAACTGTAATTGTAAATTAAAGCCGCAAGCAACTCCCCGCACCGCGCAACTTGCCGCACCACGTCGCTTTGCACCACCCCGCCTTGCACCACACCGCCCCGCGCCGCCTCTCATCACGCCGCCCCGTGACACGACAAACACGCCGCTCTACAACAGCCCAGGTATCGGAGGTGGCGCCGCCGCGTCATGATTTGTTCCTGTAGGCATAGAAAAATGTTTGTGAAATTGTAATTAATATGATCAGTTGAGTTGGTTCGGCTCCCCATGTAAAATTTGGCCTCAGTCTGTAGGTGGCGCTAATGGGCCACTGTCAAATATTTCACTTTCACATGACCTAGACCCTGGAGTTGAACAATGGATTCAACGTATGTGCAAATCAGACTTTGTTTGAGCAAAGGAGAGCAAATTTAATGTTGTCAAAAACGGCCAAAAAAACCTCACATTTTGCCGCTCCGCTGCTCGAACAACCTTTCACTGATCAAAATTCCCTGAGGTCATTTTGAAGGTACATGTGTTGAGATGATGTAGAGCGATTTTGAGGCCAATCGGTGAAACGGCCAACCGACATGCATGAAAATGATTGCTTTTCATTTTTCCAATTACCAATGAAATTTATGGGCTTCCTGTTTGTCAGAGGGCGGGGCCATAATAACATTGTTTTCATGTTTTGAGTTGAAAAATGTGTGTACCAAATTTCATGGCTTTACGACAATTTTGACCTCAAACCCGTCCCATAGGCGTTTTTAAATTGGCTGTTGTAGGTGGCGCTGATGACAAACAGGAAGCCCAGAAATTTAACTGCAAGATGGATAAATGAACAGAAATAATTTTCATACATGTTGGTTGGAAAGCGACTCCGTCTCGGCCGTTTCACCGATTCGCCTCAAATTCGCTCCACATCATCTCGACACATGTACCTTGAAAATGACTTCGGCGATTTTTCATTAGTGAAACGTTGTTCGAACAGGGGAGCGGCAAAATGTGTCCTTTTTTTGGCCGTTTTGGACAATTTTAAATTTGCTCCCGTTTGCACATACAAAGTCTGATTTGCACAAAACTTTAATACATTGTTTAGCTCTAGGGTCTACGTGAATTGAAAGTGAAATAAAAGAACTTGGCTCATTAGTGCCCCCTACAGATGGGGTCAAAGTTTTCAGAGTTTTTCATACTAAAAACTCTGAAATAGTATGTAGTCTGGTAATGAGCCAAGTTCAATTATTTCACTTTCAAATGACTCAGACCCTAGAGTTGAACCATGGATTCAAGTTTTGTGCAAATCGAAATTTGTATATGCAAACGGGAGCAAATAGAATGTTGTCAAAAACGGCCAATAAAAACTCACATTTTGCCGCTCCGCTGCTCAAACAACGTTTCTCTGATCAAAAATCCCTTTGGTCATTTTGATAGTACATGTGTTGAGATTATGTGGAGCGATTTAGAGACGAATCGGTTAAACGGCCGAGGAGGAGAAGATTTCCAACCGACATGCATGAAAACTATTGCTGTTCATTTTTCCATTTTGCAGTGAAATTTATGGGCTTCCTGTTTGTCAGAGGGCGGGGCCATTATAAAAAAATTTTCTTGTCCTGACTTGAGGAACATGTGTACTGAATCTCATGGCTCTACGACAAACTTGATCTCAAAAACTCCCATAGGAGTATTATTTTGGCTGTTCTGGCATTTTTTGAGTCCCATAAAAATAAACACCAAAATATCAAATTTTTCGCCAGGTCTGATTTTTGGGCAAAATTTTACAACTTTTCATGCATGTTCAGGGGGTCAAATTAAGGCTTTAAGTGCAGAATTTGACATCTCTCAAGCAAAAACAATAGGCCCTTTCCCCGTTGAGATTCTTTTTCAAGAGTGTCAAGAGTTGGATTAAATTGTAGTATTTGAAGGATTCGGTTTTCACTAATGCTTTGTAAACACACTCATTTTGAGGCAGTTCAGTCTCAAAGCTGCCAAATTGATCCACTTAAATCAAATACATGCTGTTGTTGTTTCCTTGGGCAAGACATGGCATCTTCATTGTCCACTATATCTTCTGGCATAAAGTCTTACCAAGGGCTAGAGTTCTTTGCAACTGTTCATTCACAAGCAAGGTTTAGATTTGTTGTTGATGGTTTAATTTTCCTTTTTACAAAGTCTTCTGTACAATGGCAGCAGCTGAGTTCGTCCTTCTTCTTTGTAAATAAAGTTACATATTGTGCCGGAGCAGGCAGAAACATTAGCATTCTCACCACACAGCAGGATAATCCAGGGTTTATTTCCTGGAGCAGGAGGAGGCCCTGTCTGTGTGGAGTTAGCATGTTCTCCTTGTGTCTGCATGGATTTATTGATTTTGTTTGAGTGCTTCTAATCCCTCCATCCATAAGTACTTTAGATGAAGGAAACTGCTTATATCTGGGGATGGGTCCTCGAGCTGTGCAGCAATCTTTTTTTAACAAAAAAGTGAAAAGGACTATGCTTGTATTGGACAAACATACTTCTAATGGTTTATAAAGATGTCTAAAAACTATGCATATAGCAGGGCTACTTAGCTGAAATCTCCAGAGGGACAGATTATAAGGAAGCTGTGATCTTAAATATACATCATGCCACACCACAAATGACTTTGCTATTATTGTTGAGAAATTAAGACAACATTGTTCAGCCAAAGCAATGCTGCATATGCACAGAACATAGGCTGGAATAGTACCAACCAGCTCTAAGCAACAATGACTGAACTATATTTAGAATAGTAGTAAGTGGTAATTGGCATTTATATATAGAAAATGAGTGGACTAATAGAGATTAACATCACGTAAAGTTTTAAACGTTTACTAGAAGAAGCCAAGTGGCTCTATCAAGCTTTTCTTGAAGATAAGTCATCATCTATCATTCTTCATGTCTTGAGTTACAAAGCCAATATCAAAATGAAAACACCAGGATTATAGAATGAATAAAGCCACACAATATAAGCCGAGATGTTGGTTCGGCTTATATTGTGTTGACTGTAACATGAGCAGTTTCAGAGAAAGGCTTTTACTTTTCATTGATTGTGTGTCAACTACAGCTAAAATCACACCCACCATCGCAACTGTGGCAGGATTTACAGATTGACAGAGAAACAAACCAGCAAATCAGCAAACAGCCGACATGATGGTAGCTCTGCGTCAGGAATGTGTAGTCCAAATAATAATCATGGCATCAGGTATGGAGCTAATACCGATACTTTTTTCGGACTGGGATTTTTTTTGTGGCCAATTTAGGATCTTGCCTCTGCTCTTCCAATGTGAATAAAACTAGCAAATGACGGAGCTTGTTGTTTTACTTGCGACCATTGTGATTGGACCGGCTCAAGATCAGCCACCAATTAGAACCTCGTATCCACACCCACTTCCTTACAGCTGAAAGGAAGTGGGTTAGCATGCTAGCACTTCCCAAATGGTTTTACGTCATGTTAAGCACTGTCCATCCTTATTGTACAGACTATTGGCTTTTCCCTTTAAAAACCCTTTACTTATTTGCCTAACCTTAAGTGAAAGCTTCAAACTTCTTTTGACTGCTTTTACTCCATTTAAAGTATTTTTTTCATTACAAGCATAGTCTTATTCACTATTTGCAAACTGATACGTCTAATCCGGCAGTTTCAAGATATATAGGAAGCAATCCTCTCAGGTTTCACTATTTTTTCCCTTAAATGGTTTCCTCAACCATTTGGTGGAGGAAATACTGAAATATACTTCGTTGAGGCATCTCACTTTGTTTTATGCACTTTTACCATCAAACTGCATCTCAACCATTAGGTAAAGGCCTATAATTTAAAAAAAACTAGGGGTTTGAAAAAATATTTGTTATTAGTGCTTCTGCTTCCAAAAATCCAAATAAATAAAAAATTACATCGCTTTCTTCAAGGAGTGAACATTAAAGGTTTATAATCCATTCAAACCTCACATTTATTCTTTCCTTCCCCATTAGACACACAGTTACTCTGCGCAGTCAATGGAATCAGAGTCTTCCCATCGTGTTGCGTGATTAAAATCGTATGCATGATAAGACTATCTGCTTTCGTCATGCTGTTTGCCATGCTGGTGTGCGTGAGCAGCGTGACCGTGGGATGGCCATTGTGTTCGTCCGTGGGAACCTCGTGGGACTCCGTGGCGTGGTTGCCTGGGCTGGCCTTTCCTCGCCGGCAGCAGCAGCAGATGACCTTGGACATGGGGCGGAGCAAGGCCTTGTAAAGACCGCGGCGCGCGCTCTCGCTCACGAAACAATACAGCGCCGGGTCGGCCACGCAGTTCAGACTGGTCAGCAGCAGGGACATGTGGTAGTAGTTGAAGATTTCTGAGGAAAACATTGACATGACAATTAATGGATTTTAAGTACAGCCTACAGAATAGACTCCTTCTACTGGCTCCCCATCCACTACAGAGTCCAATATAAACTCCTCACACACCAGTGTATCCACAGAACTGCCCCCGCCTACCTCACAGAGCTCCTCAGCCCACACACCACCTCACTCTGCCTCCGCTCACCCACTGTCTCCCCCAGCCCAGGTCTAAACTCTCCACCATGGGAGAATGGGCCTTCCAGGTTGCAGCTTCACACCTCTGGAACGCCTTCCCAGAGACTCTGAAGGCACTACAAAGTGTGGAGGCCTTTAAAAGAGGCCTGAAAACCTTCCTTTATATCAGACCTATTAGGGTTTTATGAGCTTTTAACCCCCTCTTCTTTTTGATGTAGTTAAGATAAGATAAGAAATGTACGTGTTGTAAGTGTGCAACATGTTAGGGTAAAAAATATAGTCTGTGCAGGATAATTATGTACAATAAAAAAGTGGCAATAGCAGTGCTGGTTCTTCAGTCCTAGTGCAGGTCATTAGTGACTTAAAGTTACTTATCGTACAGTCTGACAGCACTGGGGATGAAGACCCTGCGGTAGCGCTCCTTCTTGCACTGTGGGTGCCTCTACAGTCCTGTGCAGTGGGAGGTGTTGTCCATGATGGAGGTGACTTTGGCTAGCACCCTCCTATCCCTCACAGAGCGGAGAAATGCTCATTCAGAAGGACCTCAGCCTCCTCAGAAGGTGGAGGCGACTGAGGCCCTTCTTATACAGGGCGTTGGTGTTGTGGGGCCGGTCCATTTTATTATTAATGCTGTCCACCATCTCAATGTCCTCCCCCTGGATTTTCAGCAGCGTGTGGGAAAGTGGTTTTCTCCTGAAGTCAATGACCATCTCCTTAATCTTGCTGGTGTTCAAGCACAAGTGGTTGCGCTCACACCAGTCGACAAAGTCTGTGATAACCGACCAGTATTCCAATTCCCTCGGACACATAGCCCACAATGGCGGAGTCGTCGGAGAACTTCTGCAGGTGGCAGCTGTGTGTGTCGTATGTTTAGTCTGAAGTGTAGATGGTGAAGAGAAACGGTGAGAGGACAGTGCTCTAAGGGGCCCCAATACTGAAGACTACCACCTCAGACTCACAGCTGCACAGCCACACGTACTGTGGTCGGTCTGAGTGATTGTCCATGCAGGTCACTGTCACGGCGGGCTCCAGGTGGGAGAGCGTCCGTTGCAGAAAATAGATAACAGCGTCCTCTACTCCAATATTGGGCCTGTAGGTGAACTGCAGCGGGTCCAGGGTGGGGCTGACCACGGAGCGGAGATGGGTGAGGATGAGCCGCTCCATGGTCTTCATCAGGTGGGAGGTCAGTGCGACTGGTCTGTAGTGAGTCGGTTGTTATGTACTGTAGTTGTGTACTTCTGATGCTTTTGCTTTGTTTTGTTTGTTTGTGGTATTGTAATTTAATCTGTAGCACTTTGAGGTTTCCTGGCAATGTAGATATATAGACAGATAGATACTTTATTGATTCCGTAGGAGAAATTCAGGTGTCCAGAAGCTGCAGAATAAATAAATAGATCATTCTAAAAATAGCTAACAATAGTATTATAATGCAACTTTAGGTCACATCAGCAGAGGTGGAGTAGCCGCTTGGTTCGGACCATTTTCTCTGCTCTGGTCTGGACAAGTGCAAAACCATGAACACTGTACTACAGCAACATCTCACTTAGAAAAAAGCAAGAACAATAACAATTGCAAACGACAAAAGAAAAAACTGTTTTATAGCTATTTAAGACTTGCTGCCATTTCCAGTGCATTAAAAAGTAAACTACACTATGTAAGGTGCAAAATAAAAACAATGTATTACAATTATAATCATTATGATTTATGATTGGGCACCCCGGCAGATTATCTATTCTAAAATTGTAACGTAATTGTGACGGCAAAAGCTCCTCTTCTGACCCTGATCAGAATTCTCCATCCCCACCCTTCAACATCTATGACAGTTTGGAGTCTTTAATCCGATCCTCGCTGATGGTAAAGCTGCACATTCTTCTTGGCAAAAAAACCTCCAGTTTCTTTAATTCCTGGGCCACCTTGCATGAACTGCACATTTGAGAATATTTTTGAAAATAGAAATCTTTAAAATATGACCAAAACATCGACATTTCTGCCTTGGTGTGTACGCTCAACTGTATTTAAAGCAGAGTTACCAAACTATCATGTTTCATAAATAACATTTTTTTCTTTGTCCCAACAGAAAGAGTAGTTTTAGTTTAGTTTAGTTGAGGGACAGTGTACAGCAATATTAAGCTCAAAGACATGTACAGTGGGGCAAAAAAGTATTTAGTCAGCCACCGATTGTGCAAGTTCTCCCACTTAAAATAATGACCGAGGTCTGTAATTTTCATCATAGGTTCACTTCAACTGTGAGAGACAGAATGTGGAAAAAAAATCCAGGAATTCACATTGTAGGATTTTTAAAGAATTTGTTTGTAAATTATGGTGGAAAATAAGTATTTGGTCACTTCAAACAAGGAAGATCTGTGGCTCTCACAGACCTGTAACTTCTTCTTTAAGAAGCTCTGCTGTCCTCCACTCGTTATCTGTATTAATGGCACCTGTTTGAACTTGTTATCTGTATAAAAGACACCTGTCCACAGCCTCAAACAGTCAGACTCCAAACTCCACTATGGCCAAGACCAAAGAGCTGTCGAAGGACACCAGGAAAAGAATTGTAGACCTGCACATGACTGGGAAGAGTGAATCTACAATAGGCAAGCAGCTTGGTGTGAACAAAACAACTGTGGGAGCAATTATCAGAAAATGGAAGACATACAAGACCACTGATAATCTCCCTCGATCTGGGGCTCCACGCAAGATCTCATCCCGTGGGGTCAAAACGATCATGAGAACGGTGATCAAAAATCCCAGAACCACATGGGGGGACCTGGTGAATGACCTGCAGAGAGCTGGGACAAAAGTAACACACTACGACGACAGGGAATCAAATCCTGCAGTGCCAGACGTGTCCCCCTGCTGAAGCCAGTGCATGTCCAGGCCCGTCTGAAGTTTGCCAGAGAGCACGTGGATGATACAGCAGAGGATTGGGAGAATGTCATGTGGTCAGATGAAACCAAGGTAGAACTGTTTGGTATAAACTCAACTCGTCGTGTTTGGAGGAAGAAGAATACTGAATTGCATCCCAAGAACACCGTACCTACTGTGAAGCACGGGGGTGGAAACGTCATGCTTTGGGGCTTTTTTTCTGCTAACGGGACAGGACGACTGATCCGTGTTAAGGAAAGAATGAATGGGGACATGTATCGTGAGATTTTGAGCCAAAACCTCCTTCCATCAGTGAGAGCTTTGAAGATGAAACGTGGCTGGGTCTTCCAGCATGACAATGATCCCAAACACAACGCCCAGGCAACGAAGGAGTGGCTCCGTAAAAAGCATTTGAAAGTCCTGGAGTGGCCTCGCCAGTCTCGAGACCTCAACCCCATTGAAAATCTGTGGAGGGAGCTGAAAGTCTGTGTTGCTCGGCGACAGCCCCAAAACATCACTGCTCTCGAGAAGATCTGCATGGAGGAATGGGCCAAAATACCAGCTACTGTGTGTGCAAACCTGGAAAAGACCTATAGTAATCGTTTGACCTCTGTTATTGCCAACAAAGGTTATATTACAAAGTATTGAGTTGATTTTTTGTTTCTACTTATTTTCCACCATGATTTACAAATAAATTCTTTAAAAATCCTACAATGTGAATTCCTGATTTTTTTCACATTCTGTCTCTCACAGTTGAAGTGTACCTATGATGAAAATTACAGACCTCTGTCATTATTTTAAGTGGGAGAACTTGCACAATCGGTGGCTGACTAAATACTTTTTTGCCCCACTGTATGTTCTGCACGAACAGCTACACAGCTAATTTCCATCTGCAGTCCCTGTTACGTGAAAAAACAATACAATAACATAAACACACACACACACTTACATCTCACTGACAATAAATCTCTCATTCACATCATATGAAACCACTAACCATTAAATGGATACATACATTTCACACTACAGTCCACAATACCATATTCTCACACATATTTACATAATACATCAGTTTCCTTGTGGGGCACACATAGAGCCCACCTCAGTGTCTGTGTGAGCAGCTTTGTTTGCTCCAAAGTCAAATGTGAATTGAACAGTTTGAGTTTTCAAGTTGAGCTTGTTCCATTCCTTTATAAGTAAAGGCTGATTATGAAATTATGTTTTACATCTTGGTATCCTAACTGCCCCTGGTGGAGGCTCGTGTGGCTCTGGTTGTCCTAGCCTGACCTTAACCATCCGTAAACTCCGGTCAATTAATATTTCCCTACATGAACGTCTGGGTCTGATCCTAGTGGCTGCCTGTTATCTCAGTTGTATCCCATCTGACCAATCAGTGAGCAGGGAAGGCGGGTGCTGTGGGTAGGTGTTGGTGAAGGCAAGAGTCTGCGCCAAATTTGTTGGTTGTAGTTTGGCAATTGTGATACGTTTGCACACTTGTAGGACTGAGCCCTGTGAGTCGCTTTTTGATGCTTTTGGTGAAAGGATAACCCTTTCACCCTTTCTGTTTTTCTAAAGATTTTCTAAAGAGACCAAAAACGCATACAATGCAAAAAATTACTTTGAATTTTGGATTAGGATTAGCATTAATTGCAAACTGCACCTGTGATAAAGTTGCAGTCTCTCTCCAGTAAGGTGCGCACCAGAAGAAAGACGTGGTACGGAGAGAAGCAGGTGAGGAAGATGAGGATGGTGCTGCTGACGAGCTGCCGGATCCTGGACTTCTGATCCGGGAGTGTTCCAGCGCTGCGTCCCACTGCACGGAGGACACACAGGTACGAGATCTGCAGGCGACATAGACACAAGCAGAACCAGAAAGTTTTATCTGTCAGCTGAGGTGTGAAAGACAGAGAGAGACCAGATAGAGAAACCAGAGAGAGACCAGAGAGAGAGACCAGAAAGAGAAACCAGAGAGAGACCAGAGAGAGAGACCAGAAAGAGAAACCAGAGAGAGAGAGGGACCAGAGAGTTTTATCTGTGGTAGAGGAGAGAGAGAGAGACCAAAGAACCTTGTTTCGTCTCACAGAGGGGAAATTTCAATGTTACAACGCACATGTGGGGCAGTAGTAAGAGCACATAATAGCACAATAAGAGCACACAGAACACAAAATATACAATGTAAGTATGTTTCTTAGCTAGCTGTAAATTAAGTGAGAGAGAGACCAGAGTTTTATCTGTCAGCTGTGGTGAGTGGTGTAGATAGATAGATAGATACAGTTAGATGTGCCTTCTAACTGAAGGCATGACGCTGAAAAGTACTAAATTGACACAGAACGTGACGTTGTCTTAGCAAAACAATTTTGAAAAAGGAGCCTTTGGACAGAAGGTCCTTTCTTCATCAATATACTCGATTCATCACAAACTATTAGGCTGATTTTCAATTTTATGCAGTTTTAGATTTCTTTAGGCTTTTTGTGAATAAATCAGACCGCAACATTCCGTCATTATCTTATTAGAAAACATGTTATCTTGTTCATACTTGTCAGAGTTTGAAGTAGTTTGAAAGTTGGGTACTCCAGCTTTAATACACACCAACGATTCAAAACAACATTCACACCTGCAGGACTGCACATGTAGGTGCAGCTTTTTCTTTTCTTCACTCTTACAGTGTGTGCTGATGTAACGCTCTCTCACCAGCAGGATGGCCAATGGGAGGCTGAAGCCCACCACAAAGCGGTAGTAGTTGATGGGGTACTCCCAGGGCTGCATGGGGTAGTGCTCAAAACACACCGACTGGTTCTTTCGGTCTTTGCTCAGTTCTTTGTGTCGGAAGAAAACCGCTCCCACCGCAATCTCCTTCAGCCAGATGACGGCGCTGACGAGCCAGGCTGCGTGCATGGACCGCAGAGAGGTGAACCTGGGCGGAAATGTCCCGTTAGGTGAGAAGAGTACTCAACCAAATCACAGTCAAGAGTGGAAGAGAAGAACGTAGGCGCATGTAAGCAGAGTCCATCCAATTATGACACATTTAGACTCATTAAAACAAAGGTCTCTTATTCTCTGTTTAAAAAACACTTATTTATTTATCCATCCATCCATTTTCTTCCGCTTTATCCGTTGCTGGGTCACGGGGGCAGCAGTCTAAGCAGAGACGCCCAGACTTCCCTATCCACACACACTTCCTCCAGCTCGTCCGGGGGGACCCCAAGGCGTTCCCAGGCCAGCTGAGAGACATAGTCCCTCCAGCGTGTCCTAGGTCTTCCCCGGGGCCTCCTCCCGGTGGGACGTGCCCGGAACACCTCCCCAGGGAGGCGTCCAGGAGGCATCCGGAACAGATGCCCGAGCCACCTCAACTGGTTCCTCTCGACGTGGAGAAGCAGCGGCTCTACTCCGAGCTCCTCCCGTGTGACTGAGCTCCTCACCCTATCTCTAAGGTAGCGCCCAGCCACTCTGCGGAGGAAGCTCATTTCGACCGCTTGTATCCGCGATCTCATTCTTTCGGTCATTACCCAAAGCTCATGACCATAGGTGAGGGAGGGAACGAAGATTGACCGGTAAATCGAGAGCTTTGCCTTTCGGCTCAGCTCCCTCTTCACCACAACGGTCCGATACAGCGACCGCATCACTGCGCACACTGCACTGATCCGCCTGTCAATCTCACGCTCCATCCTTCCCTCACTCGTGAACAAGACCCCGAGATACTTGAACTCCTCCACTTGAGGAAGGACCTCTCCACCCACCTGTAGAGGGCAAGGCACCTTTTTCCGGTCGAGCACCATGGCCTCGGATTTGGAGGTGCTGATTCTCATCCCAGCCGCTTCACACTCGGCTGCAAACCGTCCCAGTGCATGCTGCAGGTCCTGGTTCGTTGGAGCCAACAGGACAACATTGTCTGCAAACAGCAGAGATGAAATCCTGTGGTCTCTGAACCGGACCCCCTCCGACCCCTGGCTGCGCCTAGATATTCTGTCCATAAATACAGTGAACAGAACCGGTGACAAAGGGCAGCCCTGTCGGAGGCCAACATTCACCAGGAACAGGTCTGACTTACTACCGGCAATGCGAACACAGCTCTGGCTCCGGTCATACAGGGACCGGACGGCCCTCAGCAGAGGACCTCCGACCCCGTACTCCCGGAGAACCCCCCCAAAGAACACCCCGGGGAACACAGTCGAATGCCTTCTCCAAATCCACAAAGCACATGTGGACAGGTTGGGCGAACTCCCATGAACCCTCGAGTATAGAGCTGGACCAGTGTTCCGCGATTGGGACGAAAACCACACTGCTCCTACTGAATCCGAGATTCGACCATCGGCCGTAGCCTCCTCTCCAGTACCTTGGAGTAGACCTTACCGGGGAGGCTGAGGAGTGTGATCCCACGATAATTGGAACACACCCTCCGGTCCCCCTTCTTTTAGAGAGGGACCACCACCCCAGTCTGCCACTCCATTGGCACCGCCCCCGATCGCCACGCGATGTTGCAGAGACGTGTCAGTCAAGACAGTCCTACAACATCCAGAGACTTTAGATAATCAGGACGGATTTCATCCACACCCGGAGCCTTGCCACCATGGAGGCTGCCAACCACCTTGGTGACCTCAGCCAGGGAGATGGATCTGCCCCAACATCCTGCTGCCGGGACCAGCACCAGAGACCTTGCGACCATAGCTACGAGCCGCATCGGCGATTGAGGCAGAGAACATGGTCCACTCGGACTCCATGTCCCCCTCCTCCGCCGGGGATTTATTGTTTTGTTATTTATTGTTTTGTTTTTACTTTTATTGTCACTTTCGTTTTTGTTTTTATTTCGTAACTTTTAATTTATGTTCTATTTCTATATAAATATAAAGCTGGAAGACCTGTATATTATAAATTGTCACTTTTGTATAGACCAGGGGTGCCCAAACCTTTTGCCTCCAAGGGCCAAAGTAAAAAATTGCCAGAGGGCCGCGGGCCCAATACACTGATATTATGCGTGAAACACAAATAAATTTTTATTTGATCAAAATCCTTTAATTATTGTTGAATATATAAATGCATTAATTATTGTCTATCAGTGCAAATGACAGCTGAATGAAGGAAAACATCACACTCTTAGTGAAGTGGAGGCTCCAGGTAAATACGCAGGTTTGAGGAGACTACAGTACGGAAAGATTCCGGTCAGAGAATCAGGGTCCAGAGGAGGGAGATTTCTGTTGTAGCTTATTAACAGGTTTATATATATATATATATATATATATATATATATATAAATATAATCATATAACAGCTATAAATTGGGTCTGTAACTCAATATTAAAAAAATACAACTAATAATAAACTAGCAATAGAATGAACTTTGAACTATAAATTAGCAGAAAAACCAAACATTTGACAGTAGAATACTACTTGAACTAGGCACATCACAAATGATAAACTAAGATTCATGAAAACACGAGTAAAGTCTGTTAAGTATAAACACAGACATATGGCTAAAGCTGCACATACATATCAACAAATCACACATGGTACTTACTTTCTGGTCATTAACGCACACTGACACAGGCAACCAAATGAATGAATGAAGGCATGCCGCTGCGTGCTGCTCTGGCAATAGCTCCGTGCTCAAACAAGTACTTCAATATGCAAAATAGAAACCTAACACTAGGGGCGCACTTCTCTGCTTGGCTTTCCTATAGTTTTATACAAGCCCAAAAGGCTCATGGGAGATCCTCTCAAAATGATAAAACATAAAATTGCTTAAAAAAAATTAATAGTAGGCTGAAAAAAAATGAACATGAAGGGGCCTTTCAATTGTTTTGATAAGTGTGTTTGATTTAAAAACATTTTAGTGCAAGTTGATGTGAACCATGAGTGAGGCGTGTATCTTGACACAACACTAAATTACTGGGTAGCAGCAATTTGAAGTGGCCTAGGAGCCCCCTGCGCATCCCTAGGTATATGTCTGTGTGTCCAGCCAGTCAGAGAGGCGTAGATTTCTACAGGAGTGGAAATCCATCGATCGGCCAAATGAAATGGTCTGGCGGGCCCCACTTTGGGCACCCCGGTATAGACCCACCTACATCGGCAAGGAACAAAGCAGTGGGAAAAAAATATGAGAAACCTTGGGGCCCACATTGAGAAAGGGATCTGCTCCCACGGACGTAAAGTCTATACGTCCATAGATCCTGGACTCACGCCGTAAAACAAGAACTGAGGCAGTGCGGTGCAGGACTAAAGACGCTGTCAAATTACTCCTAAGTTGTTTTAAGATTATATAGTTAGCAGTTCAATACAATACTTCCAAACATCTCTGAAAAGTTCATGGGGCAATATAGTGTCCTAACTTCATGGCAGTCAGGACCACCATCACCAGGTGAGATTGGACAGTTAGTTGATATTCAGATGTCATTCAAATAAGAAGTTGTGGAAAATAGGTATCTGCTTGAGCCCACACAGATTTGCATCAGTAAAGACTTATAACTACTAGACTGTAAAAAGCCTTTATTTCTGTATGATTACTAGACTTGCCCCATCCAGATTCAACTGGTTAACCATTCATTCTTTTCTAAAACCCATTACTTAATTGGTAATCTGTTTGAACTATTACCCCGTTATGCCAAAACCACCAGTGTCATGTGTTGAGGATTTTGCACTCCACTCTGACCTGAGGGGGTGGACCACGGCGAGGTAGCGGTCCAGGCTGATGCAGCAGAGGAACCCGATGCTGATGTAGATGTTCTCGTAGAGCAGGAAACCGCAGAGCTGACACAACCACTCCCTGTGTCGCCAATCATCGTCCTGAGCACAGACGGAGAAGAAACCACGTCACCGAGAGCGGGACACATCAGCAGGACATGAAGATTCAGAGTTCAGCACTATATATAGACTGCTGTATTATTTACCCGGCTCTTGGCCCATAGGGTAAATAATACATTGGAGAATGAACAAATCTTGGTACATCAGTACAGGTACAAATAAAGTCACTTGAACCTATGGAGAATTCTAAAGGTAATTTTCTATATGGGAACTAAACAAGAAGACATGACAATAAGGATGTTGCCTGCTCTCCCTTGGTCCTTCTTCTGAATGACATTTCTTAGCCCGGTCTTAATAGGGTCCAAGAGAGGGTTCCCTTGGCGGGGCTGTTGGCTGCCAAAAAGATGGTTGCTATACAAGCTGAAAGCCTCCTCAATCACTGTCTTGCCAAAATTCCCATTTATGCTCACAGTCATATTCCCGGAGACAGGGACCTGTGTGTTTTAGGTTTGTGTTCCCCTTTTTTGGAAAAATAAATTATAATGCATTTGTTCTTACAAAGTGCTTTTTTTTGACCATCAAATACGCTTTACATGGCATACACTCTATACCCGATGGTGATAAACAACTACTGTAGCCACAGCTGCCCATGAAGTGTCTTGCCTAAGGACACAAGAACAGTTTGGTACTAGGCCCAATAATGCTTAGCATCAGAGTTCTGACAGGATATGACTTTCTCCTGCAGGTTGTGACACAAATGATGTCAATTAAGACACTGAGACACTTGAGACTTTGAGACTGAGAGCGGGGCCAAAGCAACAGTGGTTCACTCATTTCCAAACATATATTCTTGCTTCTAATATAACATTTTGAATCACTGTAGAGGGTGCTAATATGCCTATCTCCGTTTTTCTTTTTCAGAAGTTGAACAACCAATTGAACATTGTCTAAATCGGACTTCCTATGTGTAAATTAGAGCTAATTTGAAATTGTTGGATTAGTGGCTTCGCCATGCATACAACATTCAACTGATAAAAATTCTGATTCTAATTTTTGTTGTTACGGTTAGATGATGTGGAGTGATTTTGAGCCATGGTCATTAAAACTGCAAAGTGTGAATTTGAGATCTTTTTTTGATTTTTGACACAAAATGGGGACGCAGAATGGGTCATCACAACATTTGGCAAAGACATGTCATCATTGATGCCAAAAGAAACTTTAAACATTAAAAAACATTAAACAATAAAAAAGAAAAGTATGCTCCTCATGTAAAACTTTGGCTCACACTGTAGGAGGCACTAATGCTGAATGTTGTCTTTTTCAAGTTCTGCTGACCTAAACCCACGAGAACAACCTATTCAAATGCTGTACGAATCCATCCATCCAAACTTTGTACATGTAAACAAGAGCAAAATAGAAATTGTCAAAAAAAAAAGATAATTAAAAACGTATCAACATTTGCGGCTCAGCAGCTCGTACACCGTTTAACAGATGGCAATCAAAAACTGATCAAAGAAGCCCGGACATTTGTGCTTATGACAGATACAATGAATGATGCCTCACTCAATATAGGTTTCCATGGCAACATATGATACATAATTCTAATGCGTACACTCAGACGAATGCACCTGCTTCTTTCTTTGTGATTCTTCATTGGGAAAACAATAGGCCGTTTGGAGCTCAGGCCTGTATATGTGAGAAAAACATTATTTTTATTAATGTGCTAACCAGTCAACAGTAGTTTATTAGTAGTTTATTATTTTTCTCGTTCTCATTGGAAAAGGCAATTTCAAATTTGTGACAAAGGCTAACGAACATAAAACATCTAACGAGTGTTGTTTTATATCTCAACTGGGGTTTCGTGCCCTGGGGCATTTCCTCTTTAGAGCCTGCCATAGTGCTTAGATGATGGTGATCACTCCTGCACTCCGTGATCTCAGTTACAATGGTAGAACACAGATGGATACTTCCCTGCAACTAAGGCAGTAAAATCCAGACCTGGTTTTGGCACAATAAATATTACAACATTTCAATAGTATTTTTTAACATAAGACTCGAAACATAACATGGTGAAACCTTTGGGCTAATAAGTGAACATTTAGTCTGTTCATTTTCTCTCAGGAGAGATACACGCACACATACAGTACATGTACACACACAAACACACACCTGGAATATGTACTGCAGCCACAGGGGCAGCGATGCCAGGTAGAGCAGGTCCGACACGGTGAGGTTCAGCAGATACACTCCCAGCTCGTTCTTCTGCTTCAGCTGCAGCACCGCGTGATACAGAGAGTACAGGTTGGAAGGCACGCCGATCTGAGAGGGAGCAGGGAGGACAATCACAATCACTATGTAGAAGCCAAAATGTACCTTCCCCTACCCCAGACACAAGGTGGCGCTGTGGGCTCTGTGTGACCTGTGCCCATTCTCCTATATAAGGGGCAGAATTAGATGGCACTGCTCGGTTTGGAGCAGTTAACGCGATCATTTTGACAGCCCTAATTCAAATACATTTTTACACACACATATAACATTGCAGATAATGGACCAGAGATATGATATTAAAGTGACAGAAGTGAAAAACCAAATCGCCAGATTTGGATACCTGTCCTTTTGGCAGTCTGTAATCTGTATTAAACTCAAAAGACGTCAATCGTGATTGACGAGGAGCTGAAGTTGTGCTCATTAAGAAGATAAAAAACCAGTATACCCATGTCCCATAGGCTTAACCCTTTAGGCGCCAGAGTTTTTTCAAGAAAATATACAATTTTTATTTCAAGATTTCAAAAGGCTATAACTTTAAAATGGTTTGAGATAAAGGCATACTGTAAATTAGAAATATCTTCAGTCTGAACCAAACTTTGGGATGGAAGTTGATTCGTCATCTAATTTGCATATTCTGACGTCATCAAGGTGGCGGCCATTTTGGAAAATGTTAATTATTGTATAAAGACTTCAAAAAGCTGTAGCTTGGGAGTTATTTGAGCTCAGGGAATACTCTAAACTGTAAATGTGAAATATATCTTTAGTATGAAATGAATTTGGGATAGAAATAAATTCCCTGATCCAGATTATACGTAATGTTTTAGCACTGGTTCGCAGCCATATGGAATTTTATTATTTTCAAAGACTTTCAGTGATCAAGACTGCACTTTTTATAGTTTACAGTCATAAAATCTGAAGATTGGTTTCAATATTTCCCTTTCAAAGAAGTAGTGGGCATACTATTTTTCTCAGTGGAAATGAGGCTCCAGGATTTATCGTGTAGAAACGGAGAGATGAAATGAATGGGCACAGAACTTGTCAGATCGTCTCAACAACATACAACAGGCTCTTCAACACTTCTGATCCACTTTTGTGGATTATTTTCTCTCAAGAACTGCCTTCATCCTCATCATTGCTGCTGGTAAAGGCAGTGAACGCGATTAGCGATGTGCTTTTTCCCGCGGCTTCTCCCGCGTCTCCCGCGGATGTCTACCCCCGCTACTTTCTCCCACATGCCCGGTGTTATGATGCCCCTGTCCCCTCCACCACGGCCCCTGCTTGGCGTTCACAGAATGCTTCTACCGCGGCCACACGGAGGACAAGCAGCCGCTGCACAGGGGCTGATTGTGGACTATATGGCGCGGTCTCCCCGTCACCAATAATGTCCGTGTCTGCTTCACTGGACACCTGTGTGTCTTCCTCCTCTGAATCTGAGTGAGCCAGTACCAGACCAAGTACTTCTCTGGTACTGAAGACCTCGTGAGTAAAATAAAAAACACTCTCTCCTTCTGCTCTGCTCTCGCTCCTCTCAGCTCTACCGCTGCTGCTTCGCCTCCGCGCCGCTGCGCCGCAGGTGTTTTACAAACTCAATTTACTCAAAAACTTTCAATATAACCACACCCACAAATGTTGCTCATATTACAGGCACACATGTCCACTAACCCCTGGTGAAAAGTATTAACAAGATTCTGCACCACATTTTTACATACAGCCTGTTTAAGTGAGCAATGTTGCTTGTCGCAATATTGCGACTTTGGCGCTTAAAGGGTTAAATAACACACATAATTAAAGCTGGGGTACCTAATTTTGTTATTTTTTCATGAATATATTGTGTGCCCAAACATAAAGAGCCTTGCTTAATGTACAAATCAGTCCACAAAATGCAGCCTTCAGCTTATTACAAAACATTATATTTTCTAACTTGATTGGCTGAGGGCGGGCTTGTACTCTGTCACATCTAAAGATCAGCGTTTTTAGTGAAAAACTACGCGCAAAAATACATGCATGTGAGAAACTAGTGATGATTGATGAAATTGCTTCAAATACAAGGTACTTTCCAATTGATATTACTCTATATAGAGGGGGGGGGGGGGGGGGGATTATACAACATATAGATTTACAGTTTTACACCAGATTGGGCTATGTAGCTAACTTGCATCTGTTGTCCCACTTGCAAACACACACTTGTACCTGTTTTAGTAGTAACCTACGCAGAAAAGGGGAGAACATGCAAACTCCACGCAGAAAGTCCTGGAGGTGGACTCAAACCCAGGTTATAGTGTATAGTAGTAACTATACACTTTTAAAATAGTGTAACTATGAAAGCCGATAAGATCTGACTGTAGCCAACCATTGATCAAGTGAATGTACATTTGTAACGTCGTAAAAGAAAAAAAAGAAAGAAATGGTAAAAGAAGGTCAGAAACATAAATTGTACTTTTACCTACTCATTTTTGGATATTCCTTCCTTCTTTTTCATTTCTCACACAAGAGTTCTCTGGATCGTGGTTTTGGGACCAACATATATTTGGTTAACCACTCACCACAGTAGGTTTAATAATAACTGAGAAAGAGAAAAAGTTGTTTCCTGTGGTTTTTTGAGGTACAGATTGCAGATACCATTTGAGGGAAAAGAGTGACCTCAAAGCCTGAATTGAACCATAAATCTTTGTGACGCAAAAAAACATAAATGTGTCTGCTCTTTGTCAAATGTCACTCCCAGCACTGTAGATATTTATATTTGCAATAACAGGTCCAAAGTTTCAACATTGAGTTATTAGATGCCTGTGTAAATGTCTATTCATACCTGCACTTTTTACTCCAAGAAAATGGGGTAGAGGCTCCACACAGAAAAATGCATCATAAAGAGGTGCTATACTGTATAAAACTATACTGTATAAAACTATACTGTATCAAACTATACTGTATAATGCGAGTGAGACGTGACAGCGAAGGAACAATGCTGGAGTCGGAGAATGTCAAGAGGAATATAAATCAAAGTCTCGCTCGTTCAGAACGTGTCACGAGCGGGGTCGAACTAGACATGAATATTTTATAACAATGAGTTTCACTGTGGAACGAAGACAACTGTGTAAGAAAAAAAAAAAGAACCAAATCAAATCTATTTACTTTTGTACAGCCCAAATTCACAACAGCAGATTGTGAAAATGCCCAAATGTTTTTCCAGATAATTGTTTGATATTGTTTGAATCCTCGATATCATTCTTATATCTGAAAGTACTTTATAATGGCCAACATCATGCATTTGTTTATTTTTAATATTGTCACCACTTCTAGAAACCTTCACGAGAAAATAATGAGACCATATCGGCCCAGGGATAAACTAAAACTAGAAGCCTGACTTTTTAGTTACTATAGTCATCAGGAAAGATTTAACTTGGATATCAATACATTCTTCCTCTTTTCACTGTTGAAATTGCATACCCCAGCTTTAATGCCACACTATAAAGAAGTGTCTGATGTGAATACGTCACATAAGCAGTATTCCTCTCACCAGCAGGACCAGAATGTAGACGCAGGAGAACAGGTACTGGTGGATCTCGTGGCTGATGGTGCAGTTGATCACATCCTCATCGCTCATGCTGCCCCACCTCTCCCCTCCTCACCCGCCTCTACCCCCCCTCCTCTCTCCCCTGTATGTCTTCTCTCTTAGTCCGCAGATGTCAATCCAAAACACCAGACGTGGGTGCACATCCCACACGTGCCTTTTTGACTTTCCATCTGCATCTGTGAATGACAAAAAAGTACATTTGTAAAGTAATGTAAGTAATTATTTAAATAGCGCATTTTACAGACCAAGGTCACCGAGAGTGCTTTACAATGTTCCCAACCAACACCATCTATTCACTCTCTCATTACATTCAGACCTATTGCACATGATTTTAGTGGTAGGGGAAACCGGAGCACCCAGAGGACACCTACACAGACACGGTGAGAACATGCAAACTCCACTCAGAAAGGCCTTGTTCCGACCGGGATTCCAACCCAGGACCTTCTTGCTGAGAAGCAAGAGTGCTATGCAAAGTATTTTCCAAAATCAATTGATCCTTTTTAGCACGTATCAAGAAAAAGAGCATTTGTCTAGTCGACTTGACAGTCTTTGGCATTTATTTCAATAATGTTCCATTTTGTCGCCTCCCTATTTGTGCCCTGTCTGGCCCTATCTGAGCCAGCCGTAACTACTGAAAAAATAAAATAATAATTTTCCCCTCATAATTTTTCAAAATTCTACCTGTGAAGGAACGAATAGGCATTTTCATACTGTGTTTTTTGACCATTGTTGAAATACTGAAATATTATTCATCACAAGAAAGACCGATCTTTCACCATTTGAAGTCCCAATGTCTTTGACTTTCCTCATACTTTGGTACAGATTTCCGATGCATAAACATTTCAAAAATAAATACATCATGTAAAACATATTTTTACACACATTTGTATGTATAAAGGAATGAGCAGAGCGTGCAACAACACACACTTGTGGTAAGAGCTTGTTCCATTGATAGTTACGCTGTCATTAAGGAAAGCTGTCCCTCCTGTGACTTGTGTGTAGTTGAACCTGACCCACATCTGAGCAGCGAGTTATAAACTATAAAATGGGTTGTAATTCTGTCTTCAGTCCCACTATATTTGGTCAGAGTTTACACTGAACACGCCTCGGCAAAGAGACGAGGTCACAAGCCACGTTAATGGCGTTGTTCTGACACACCAGCCTGTAATTAGACAAAAGTTAAAGTTGGTGGACATCTAAACAACCCAGTCTGTTTTTGATGAGGGAGCAATGGTTGTAAGTAACACTGTAAAACAAAAAGAATATTGGTGTTTTGTGCGTAAAGGTCTGCCTTTTTAAAATCCTGCTCTGGAAAAATATATACATTTAAATGTGCTAATGAACTTGTTGTAAATCGAGACGTGATCTGGAGAGGATTCCTGGATCTGTGGCTCAGAACACGATTACTGCACTTTGGAAAAACAATAATTACATTTTCCGTGTGGAAAAAATAGAAGGTTGAGGTCAATCAAATGGAGCCATGGAGCCAAAAGCAAATTACCCAGTTAACAATCAGGATGAGCATCACACAAAAGACACGAGCAAATGACTGCACTTCTGTAACTAAAGTTTTGAAAGCAATGGCATTTGTACTTTTATTAATCCATTCATAGAGTTCTATACAACAAAAGAAAAACAACTGGCTCTCCTAAGATGTTCTGTGTCTAGCATCAACAAACTTCTCGTCGTTAAACTTTTGTCAAAAGTCCAATATGAATTATGGTGGTTCCTGTCAATTTAGGGGCCAACAAACAAATGGAAGACGTGTCTGTATGTACATGTACAAATAAATATATGTAATGATATGAAAATGTAAATATAAAGTACCTAAAATATGCAAAAACGTCATTCATTTTTGTAGAGCAGTCATCTCGGTGGTCTTGACAAAGTTGTTGATTCATCAACAACAGATCAGAGAATGAAACATTTCAAAAACTCGAGTTATACGTTCAAAATAACAAATGTAGGAAAAATGGAAAGATCAGAATTAGTGGTCCTACTTCTGTCACTATTTACCGATAGAACCCCAAAGCAGAGGCAGGAGACTGAAGAAGTTTAATTACAAGTTTATTTGCAAGACTAGCGGACAGTTGAGCAGGCAGTGCAGGCTGGGAGCAGGCCGACTCAGCTGGAGTGTGGACCGGAGACCAAGAGCTGACTGGAGATACAGCGGCGAGACACAATCGGATCTGAACAGACCAGGAGCGGCGGGGAAGTGTCTATAAAACTCCAAATAACACGAGAGCTGGATCCACTACCGACTGAGATGGGGATTGTCTTGCAGAGAACAGGTCCTGATTTACAGAGACGGAGGGAGCGGTGCCATTCTGGTGTTATACAGTCTCTGGGTCTGCTCTTTCAATACAACAGGAAATCCTTTTTTATTTGTTTGAATGAGCCATTACTTTACTCTGAACAAGTGACATCCTCTTCAAACACAGAGATTAGCGCTACTACTTAGGAATGTTCAAAATATCCAGAGAGAGTGTGGCCAACAGAGAACAATATCAGTGCAGTTATTAAAGAGGAGATAACTTGAAACAGCAGAGGGGGTGCCCAAAGAACCATTACACAACATCATGTCTATTCAAACCAAGGAGAGAGAAAGAAATAGAAATATTCCTGTCACATGTCTTTGTGATCGTCTCCTCCATGAACTGCTGTTTGCCTGGGTAGTGAATTCTTGTGAGTGATTTACAGAATAAAACAATTGTTGCATGACTTATTTAGATCCAAATTTGCAGCAACTTTGTCATTTCAGCTCTGTCTGCTGTAAAAGTGCAGTGTGCAGTAGGAGTAGGTGCTTTTAAAGTCCCCTTTCCTTCTCAGACTCTGGCGGAAACTTCATATTGTTTGCCTGCACGTCCAGACTTAATATTCTAAACATGTTGGAAGGAACTGTAAAGCCTTTTTGGCCCGCAGATTGACAGAAAGTGCATTTTGTATTGTAGGCTTTGGCCGGTGCAGGCTGTCAACAGTGTGACTAGATCCACCGTGGATCTGGGTCGGTGTAATATTCTATATTCATTCATTCCACAGAAAAATTATAGCCAGAAAGAAACCATCATACACAAACAAGCAACAAGAGGCGCTCCTCCTGAAAACAAGCCAGGTTTGTGAAGATGTGTAAGTAAGTAAGTAATCTTTATTTATATACCGCCTTTTCACTGCAGATCTGAGTCTCAAAGCGGTTTACAATTGTTAATTTTGGGCATTTGTCTCTCACTCCACACAGAGATGGGAGCGGGGCCAGAACAGGAGGCATATGCAAGACCTATTGTACATATTTTTAGTGGTAGGGGAAACCGGAGTACCCGGAGGAAACCTACGCAGACACGGGGAGAACATGCAAACTCCACTCAGAAAGGCCCTGGTCCGACCGGGATTCGAACCCAGGACCTTCTTGCTGAGAGGCGAGTGTCACGGGGGTGAATAACAAATGAGGCCCAAAATGCAAAACTGCAAAAATATAATGGATTTAATAAAAAGATAAAACAAATCCAAAACACAGGGAACAAGGACAGAACTGAAACAGACGAGGAATGACAATGACGGAACAGGGAGTGCAGGAACACACAGGGCTAAATACAAGACTAACGAGACACAGCTGAGACAGATGAGGGCAGGGCTGGTGATCAAACAGGAAGTAAAACCAAAGCAGACACAGGGATATAACAAACTACAAAATAAAACAGGAAATAAATCTAAACCATGACAGCGAGAGTGCTATCCACTCAGCCACCATGCCGCCCAGAAAAGTGAATCATTTCAGTGATCTTTCTCAAAACAGTATATTTTGACTTTATCATTTCCTAAGTGTAGTGAATAATAGCGTTATTTCTGTATTTTCATAATACGTTTTTTGTTTTTCATGCCTGGTCTTTGATTTGATGTGCAGCTTTGGACCTCCAGCCACTCTTGTGTTTCTTCGTGTGCCGCCTCCTTTGCAATCCTGTTTTGGGGAAGAGGTCAGTCACCTTGTGTGTCTCAAAGTTATAATTTTGACTTATTTACACTTGTTATGTACTAAATGTAAGTACTGTCATGTAAGTTCATATTTATTTATCACATTCATTGTCTACTTATATTGGTTATGTGTTACTGCCAGATGTTGACCTGCGGCTGTCTTTTTCCTTTTGGTTTAGGCTTAGACTGTGTTACAGAGGCACATGCTAAATGCTAACAATAATAAAAACAGTATTATTGTGACCGGGTATGTATAGCCCTTTGCAATCCCCTTTCAGGGATGAGTTGGGGCTGGGACTGTGTTACTTAGCAATGGTGTTAGCTAGCAATGTTGCGTTTTGCAGCAAAATGAACATTGGAGAATGGGACATGTCTGTGACCGATATGTGTTGGCGGGAAGTGCAGAAGCTACACATCAGCAGCCCAAACTTCAACAGCTGAACATCTACTAAAAACTGACGTGTTTTACTTCTTTGATAGTACGTACAGCCAACAGCACAGCAAGTCATGGTGACGAGTTCTCTTCCTACAAATGCCGGGCGCAGTAGAGTGCAAAGTGCCGTAGGCTGATCATCCGTCTATAGCAGAACCTTATGTCTACTTCATCTTGCCTTAACATTGGAGCAAATTGATTTATGATTGTATTTCTTTTATTGTTTATTTGGTTGAAGACCAAATAAACAGCATGTTAATAAACACACCTCTTCGTATTGTAGCCTTGGGCTTATTTGCATCAATTGTCCGACAGTCACACTCACTCAACCATACGCAGACACGAGCAGGTGATGCTAAGTCCACACACAAAAGTCCTGTCTGGAGGTGGAATCAGATCAAGTGATGAATACACCAAAAAATTATATATAGTTTATTCCTAATTTGCTTTAGCAACAATCCAAAAGTGAAGATTCCTCTCTCAGATATGACACATATACAGATGGCTGTGTTTCAAGAGAGCTGCTGTTACTGGAAACCGCGGCCCTCGACCTTGACTTTCTGTTCGCACAAAGTGGTTCAGTAATTACACGTCTAAAACCATTTACCACCAGAAACTCCTCCCGTTCTGT